TTTCGTCTAAATCCAACGCACAAGGCACGCTTTAGCGTCAATATAAACACGCACAGAGCTTTGTTCGGTTAGGGTAGGTTTAGTTCTGGGTAGCGGGTAGGTTTAGGGTTAGACCACTAGGAGGCGCCTCTGGCCCATATGTATATCTGCATCTCATATTGATGCCAAAGGGTGCCATGTGTGCTGGATGTAGACGAAATGTCAAAAGCGTCAGTATATGACGCCTTGGATGAGAACGAGTTGGATCTTCAAGCCTCTGCTTTTTATAAAAAATGCCAGTCAAAAAGGGTGGTAGTTGTGTGATAGTTTGGGAGGCATCAGAACCTAAACATTGTGCCCAGAAAGAACTGAAAAAAACTATGACTTATGAGAATTTTCCAGGAGAATAAAGCTAGCGGTCTGTAAACTAACGCAAAAGCTCAGCGGGGTCGTGCTCCAAAACAATGACCCCCTTAAGAAAATGATCCCTAAAACGTTTGAGATGGTCTAGTCACAGTCTAGACCTAAACCCTAATGAAATGTCGTGTCAGGATCTGAAACACACAGATCATGCTTGAACACTGAGCTGAAGCAATTCTGCAAGGAGGAGTGGGCCAAATTCCTCCATATAAATAACTACAGGAAACATTTGGTTGCAGTTATTGCTGCTAATGTGGACGCAACCAGATACTGGTTACCTCCATTAGCAGCATTCATTTAAAATAGTGTTGAACGAATAGTGCTTTCTTAAATGAATGCATGAAAGATTAATCTCATTTTGTTGTTGTCCATGAAGGCTCGTGGAAGGGTCTTGGTTAAAGATCTGAAGACATCATGTGTGAAATATGCAAAAATACAGACAAAAAACTTTTTCACAGGACTGAAATATTTTTTTTCTAAGGTTGCTTCCATAGCAACCTTATGCTGTCCATATGCTGGCCATCTTCTGGGCAGTTTTCTGTTTATTTCTCCCGCCTTTTAATTTTATTTCTAAGATGAGGCACACATCTTCTCGAATGGAATGAGAAAATCTTAACATATTTCTTCTTGCGTCAGTGCTAGGGTCAAATCGCTCGCCAGGAGCTTGATGTTACATAATGTGATGTTCAGGCATTCATCACAAGATATCATATGCCACCCCAGATCTCACTCAGTGATGTAAACTCTTAGTGAATACTGGAGCCAATCAGAAGACACATCTCCAAGGGCAATCTTATATGGGAGGGGAGGCAAAGTACCCCTTTGTGACCCAACTGGGCAATGAAGGGCTCAAAGGAGCAATGGCCACCATGCAATCCTATCTTGCAGATGACCTCTCGTGCCCCATCTGTGGAAATATCCTGCAAAAGCCAGTCGTGCTGTTTTGCAGACATCGCTTTTGCAAGCTTTGCCTTGAGAACCAGTGGAATGGAGGAGGATCTTGCGAATGCCCGCTTTGCACTCAGCCATCCTCTATGGGGGAGCTCATAGTCAACACCATGCTTGAGAAGACCTGTGAGGGCTTTCTGGAGCGATGCAAAAACAACCCTCTCGCATGCAAGGAGCATGGAGAGACCTTGACGCTTTTTTGTTTGGAGGATCTGGAACCCATTTGTTGCAAATGCCAGTCGTCAGCCAACCACCATGGTCACAGGTTATATCCCTTAAATGAAGCTTCACACGACTGTAAGGTATGTCTACATACAGATTGATGGTCTTCTGCAATCTATGTTTGACATTTGTTTACAGGCAATGTTGATTCCAATGTAGATCTTCAACGATCGCACGGTCAATTCAAGGACAAGAGGGGAGACCAAAAATGTTTAATGAGAATAACCATTTGGACAACCGTCCTTTCTCGTTATGACCTCAGAAATAGTTATTTATGGATTCTTGGCTGGGTTTATTAACAGACTATTAATAGTGGTAAGTTCATGCTAGTAGGGATGAGGCCTCCTGGTAGGGCTGAAACCAGATGCCCATGTGCTCAGTTTAGAGTTGATGAAAGTATACACTCATATCTCCTCAAAATAATCGAAAAATCTTTTAAGGTCATGTCTTAGGACACCTTATCACCCCACAATTAAAGGAAAGCAAGATATTATATGATATCTAGTTTCACTTATTGTATTCACATTCTTCATTTTCTACTTGCAATGTATGGATTTTTATTTTATTCCTTATAATTGCACCTTTCTTAGTGCCATACAACCAGGATGCGAATTACACAATGGCCTTTAGGGGGGTCAGGGAGTTGCGGAGCAGTTTGCTTCATACATTTAGTTAAACAGCATCAAAGAGGCCAAATTTTTCATTTGCACCTCAATTTTATGACGTGCACCTCTTCAAAAATGTAACTACACGTGTCGCGACGGCGCGGACCGCAAGATCTGTGATTGGTCGGTTTGGTAGCATCGCATTTCATCCTAAGCATTTCCGCACGTACCATCTCCTCCGATGTCTTCTCTCGTTTTTGCCTTTTAGTTTTAGTAATTTCATCAAAATTAACCGTTTTTCCATTTCAATAAGCTCCAACTCCAACATGATCTGCTCTCTTTCAGTCGCCATTGCTTGTAGTAACCTAGCCGCGAGGAATCTAAACACAGTGGAACATTAAAACCTCCGCCGCCAACTAGCGTTTCGGAGCAGTACTGCAGAGCAACCAAGACCTGAACGCAGAAGTATAAATGCTCATGACGGTGTCGCTTACGTGCGTAGCCTATGCCGTACACTACGGCGTACCCTCGACACAGAAGTATAAATTGGCCTTTAACAGGTAAAGCTTCATGTTATGGGTATACTGCTTTCTTTGACCCCCACAACATCTTGTATTAATGTCAAATCCCCATTCTTGTTAGTTTGCACCCTGAAAACAAGCATGGGCACACCAGATTTTGGAAGCTAAGCAAGGTTGACATAGGGATCGTTTACACGACACCGTTTTTAACTGAAAACTTTTTATGTGTTTTGGCCGACCATTTACATGACAACGGTGTATTGGGGCCTAAAAACTACCGTTTTAGTCTCCATGTTAACTGCGAAAATGAGAATCAGTGAAAACGGTGATGGCATGCGTATTGCGTGTTCAGCATGTGTGCAAGCCAAGTGCATAGTCTTTCTTGCATAATACAAAGTTTTTAATCGTTTTCGTGGATCTGTATGAATGGGGATGGTTTTTAATAATGTTGCATCTGTACAAACATTTCAGTTTTTAGT